CGAGGGGCGTGGAGTAGCCTGCGACCACGGTCTCGACAGCGTGCTCCAGCAAGTGGGACGGTGAGAGAGAAAATCGGTATCCGGCGGCCCGGGGGCAGGTGACTTGGCCAGCGGCGGCGGCCGTGCTCCAGTCGGCAGCGGAGGAGCTCGCACGGCAACTGCAGTGTCGGGAGGCTTGGCCGAGGGGCGTGGAGTAGCCTGCGGCCACGGTCTCGACAGCGTGCTCCAGCAAGTGGGACGGTGAGAGAGAAAGAATGTGGTCTATTTTTAATAAGGATAACTAATGTGAGGGGTTAATTGAAAAATACATGTCATGCTAGCGTGCCACGTCAGCAAAAAAAAATGTCCTCGTGGCTGGCATGGGCCTACGGTGCACCACTTAACAAGTTTAATTAGGGACCCAGAAATGCATTTTGCAAGCTCATGGGTTTAAGTGTCGCTGGTGTATTTAACTCTTCTTAAAATAGATGGCTTCGTTGTAGGGTACGCAGTATCATGCATATTTTCTGGAGCACTTTTGTAGTATCGCGTTGTTTTTGGATCATTCAACTTTAGTCATGACGAGATTAGATCTAATATAGTATTTATAGTATTACGTAGATAAAAAAAAAAAGGTCCCGGATGCACATAATTTAGCAGTTCATATCTACACAGGGCAAAATAGCAAGTGTCTGAATAACCTGTACGTATGGTTGTATGTTGTACGATGCACAGCCCTTCCTCCATCTGCTACTATACAATCACATGTTCTCTACAATGTATTACAACTTTACAGATCTCATCAATTCTCATTACTTGCTTGCCCCCAAATCAAATATGGAACGAAATCTACATTATGTTTTTGCATGCTGCGTGAAAATTGAATGGCAATTGGGCCATGGCCCAAACATTCGTCAGAACATATGTACATATACAACATTACTTGCAATCTGCATGTAGCTAGGCTTCTTCCCACAGTATTTTATTTGGTGAATAGAAGCATACTATATATGTTCTCTGACTGTATGGTTATTAATCTGCACTCGTTGGAGGCATATGGATGAAACGGAATAGTTTGTGAGACTGTTCTCCTGTGTATGATTGCTTGATCCACAGTGAATGGCCCGTAATAAGAGAAAAGAAACACCTGGAATCAATGAACTGTTTTTTTACAACGATGGCACACCTAATGACCCTACCAAATAAGGATATGCACTTCCTTTATACAATAATAACTAGAAGGATACCCATGCATTGCATGCATGAGCTGGACCTGCATGTTATTGTATAGGTTCGGATCAAAACTGGGCAAGCTAATGGTATAATCCAATAAGAAAACTAATGGAGTACCAGACTGATTTATAAGATGATGGGATGGCAAATGCAAACAAAAAGCATGATGTAGATGCCTTGTATTTCGATAGACTAAACATAGTAATTGCACATAGCGGGGATGATGTGGACTGTTTTAGCCATTGGTGGGGGATGAAGTGGATTTTTTGCATGGAGAGATCGAAGGCGGCTAGTGGGGAATGACGTGGATATATTGCATGTTGAGATTGAAAGTTAGTGTGGTTTGTTTTTATAATAGATATAGATATAGATATAGGATAGAATGCATATTTTGACAAATTGAAATTAGTAATTGTACTTAGTGAGGATGGTGTGGACAGTTTGAGCATTTATTTGTGGGGGATGAAGTGGATTTCCTGCATGAAGAGATCTATAATAGATATAGGTATTATCTAATCAATAGTTTGCTTTTATAATAGATATAGATATAGATCTAGATTGAAAGTTAGTGGAAGATAATGTGGCATTTAGTAGGAAATAACATGGATAGCTTGCATGTTTAGATTGAAAGTTAGTAGAATTTGCTTTTATATGAATGATTATAGTATAATTTTTTGATAAGGAATGTGTAAATTTATATGTTATCATTATTAAGGCCCCAACTACTAGTGATGTTAAAACCAGTACATATCATATAAAATCTTTCATAGGCTACCAGTTTATCCATATATTGGCTAATAATTGTTAACTGGTGAGTTTCTATGAATCAACCTTCATCCTAAAAACATTATTCGAAACAAAAAAATCAAAATATTAATCATTATTTAATGTTTTGCTATAACACTGTGTACCACTATCTTATGAAAGTGGGACAATATAAATAACGCTAATATAGGATGATTTGTATTAAGTCTAGTCTATTTATATAAAGTACAAGGTGGCTTGATGATCTCAAGCAAGTTCAGAGATAGAGATGGAAACCAATCCTATCCTACTATATCAATGCATGGGATCCTTCCAAATCCATGTCATATACTCTAGCATTCCCTCCTCCCCCGCTGTCATAGTGTGAGCAAGGCAGACGCTTAGAATGGAGGGGAAACCAACAAAGTAGACGATAATAGCCCTTTTGTTGCCAAGGTAGCCGAGATCAGTGCATTGTGGACATCGCCATGGAGGAGAGAGTTGCAGGTCCAAGGCACCAACACTAGCATACTCGTGCACAGAATTAGTGTAATCCGGTCGAACGCCGGCTTGACTAGTAGTGCGGTGATCTCAATGGGACAACTTTGGTAGCTAGAGAGCAGGAATGTGCTAACTCAAATCAATACCTTGCACGATGAATAGGACTAGCGGCATGAAGCACGACTACTGCCCAATTGGGTAGCTATCCTGTTGATAATGGCATGGTCACATACCGTTGGTTCTCGGAGGTGCGATGGTTTGTATTAGCCGTCGATGACAGACCAACGACGATGATCTAATGTGACAATAATCGAGTAGATGGGTTCTCAAATTGGTACAAAGGACGTAGCCTTGTTGATGAGGGTCAAGCCATGTCATTATCGAGAGGTGGACATGAAATGCGATCGTTAATGATCAGCAGTGAGATGCAACCCAATCTGTGATTGAGATAGAGAAAACCCCATCTAGAAAAAATTAGGAAAAACTGTAGGCCGAACAATAGTCGACAACATGAACACTAAACTATGGGTTGCAGACCCTGGGAGAGTGATGTGATCATCTTTCGAGGGTTGATGCGGCGGATGCTACCGAGGCATTGGCTTTGGAACATCGCCAGTTCTATACCATGTGAGGATATGAATATTGCAAATATTAGATGATTTGTATCAAATGTTGGATGATTTGTATTAAGTCTCATAGGTTATTTATATAGAGTACACAGTTGCTCGAAGGGAAGTGTTTAAATTGATCTCATACTTCAATACACACCGCAACAAAAAGAAAACCAAATTATTGGATTAGGACATCAATATGCACCACAAAAACACAACACAACCACACAACCACCTTTCACCATTGCCACTTCCAAGAAAGAGAAAACATGCCCAACTACACACAGCGGCGGTGGCCTTCATACTGCAACATCGTCATCAAACTATAGGAAGCCAACATGTCGATAAGAATTCATTAGCGCCTGCGTCGTGAGACGATATGTCTCGCCCGATCTAACCACTACTTTGCATGGCTAGCGGCCATAGTCCGCTATAAAGAGTCACACCATATCGTTGTCGCTTGCGCATCTACTGATAGTGTCCTTCACTGAACTGAACCATGCCATGCATGTAGGGCTAGCTATTGTAGAATGCTACAAGACTCCAAGCTGGTATGCAATGGCTTCCTCTTGACACCACCAAGTCGCCACATCATCTAAGATTAGCTAGGCTACCAACAAAGCCACAAGCACCAAGGCACCGGTGTTCTCAACTCACACAACATAGTTATCATCTGCCTTCTCGCTAGATTAGTGTTGTCATGACTATAATTGGGAAATATGATGCCACCACTTCTTAATTAAATTATTTTTGTATGAGTAGAAAAAAATGTGCTTATTATCTAATTGGAATGGCATAAGTGCTGAAGAGTTTAGCTTCATAGGGGGTTTAGGTCACCGTCGTAGCATTTTATATTTCAATGCACACATCTTCTGACAAGGACACTATTAAGTTGTTGGTTTAGAGGAAATTTAATTGACTTCCATTTCAATTGTATAATGTAACTCTAGATCAAATATTTATTCATGCTTTAAAGCGATTGAAATCAGCCTTCTTATAGTTGTCAAAGATAAACAAAAGTGGTGAGGTTGGTTTGGAATTTAGGATTTGTCCTCGATTAGTTTTTATTTTCATTACACCTTGTAACTCTAGAGAGTTTATACCTCATACCAATTATTTGTCGTCTAATTGATTTACAAGATTCAAACATCTGAATTAAAATGAGGATGATCCTTATGTTTGGGGTCTGCAATACTATCCTAGTATCCTTACATGGGGGCTTTCTTTTCAAGGTTCTCTTTCTTGCAGAGAGGGCGTGTTTGGTTGAAGCCCTTGACTTGGGAGCTCTGCCAGGCAGCCGCATTCGATCCAATCGAACGCCTGGCCCAGGAAAGTTTTCAAGGTGGAACTAGAGATACATCGGTTTCAATCGCCTGGCCTTGATGCCTGGCTCATGTAGTTTCTAAGGGTGGGAAACAAATAAGCCCAGAGTGCCCTGTTCAAAGTTAAAACCCGGTGTCATAGGCGCTAGAGCTGCAACAATCCTATTCCTACTGGTATTATTTCGTGTAGTGTGGGCTAGTGGCCATGGGTCCGACCTACTGTATGTGCATGAGCAGTATTTGGTCAGAGCAATACTGTTCATTCGTCCCATCACACCACCTATCTAAGCTTGTTCGTTTAGTCGAATAGTATTCGGCTTATAAGCCATGGCTTATAAGCCAACGAACAGTATTTTTCTCTCACACCAAATCAGTCAACCGTACCTTCAGCCATAACTTATAAGCCAAACAAGATCAAACGAACGGGGCCAGGCTGAATTAATTGGGAGCTTTTTAGCTTGTAATTCGTGTGGCCCTTTGGTTACCACACAAACGTTGTCAGAAGTGGTCTAGCTAATCTTTATTATCTTTGGAACCAATAATTAAAGTGTGGCAAGCAAACTTTAACCAACTTAATTTGTTGGTTGCTGATCATCATCTTTAACTGCAGACAGTAACTGTGAGGTGTCCGGGTCGTCCGAGGATGAGCAGGACGCGAGCTGTCCTGAAGAGATCGATCCCTGTGCCGAGGACATGGAGCTCAAGCACCAGCTCCTGAGGAAGTACGGCGGCTACCTGGGCGGCCTTCGCCAGGAGTTCTCCAAGAGGAAGAAGAAAGGGAAGCTCCCCAAGGAAGCGAGGCAGAAGCTGTTGCACTGGTGGGAGCTGCACTACAAATGGCCCTATCCTTCTGTAAGCTAGACCCTATATATATATATATCCATCCATGCATTACTAATTCAAGCTCTTCTTGTATGGCAACTACTGTGTTGCATTGCCAAAGAAAAACTGAAGCTTTTGATGCATGACTGTTACGAGTACGTACTCATCTATTGTCAGGAGACGGAGAAGATGGCGCTGGCAGAGACGACAGGGCTGGACCAGAAGCAGATCAACAACTGGTTCATCAACCAGCGGAAGCGGCACTGGAAGCCGGCGTCGGAGGACATGCCGTTCGCGATGATGGAGGGCGGGTTCCACGTCCCGCAGGGCAGCGCGGCGGTGTACATGGACAGGCCGCCGCCGTTCATGGCGGATGGCATGTACCGGCTGGGGTCGTCGTGAGGGCCGGGACTCTCAGCTCGTGTGTGTCTGCTGGTGCGTGTCTCCCATGCGTGTGCATGCTCGATCGGATCGACGTCCAGCAAAGTTGCCGGCCGGCCGGTGGTGCATGTTTAGTTTGGGTTACCGTGGAGAGTAAACTCCGATCGATCCATGGTAGCGGCATGCAAGGTAAAAGCTTAAAGCAGGTCCCGGTAAGACGGTGATTGTTGAGGTAGTAGTGATTGAAGTGACGGTGGCCATTGCTGCTATTCGGCTGTAAATATACAGTTTCGGTTTGATACTTTTTGCTCTCGACGATCTGTAGTAATTCTGCAAAGTCGTCGTAGGCACCATGTTTTTCTCTCTTTTTTTCCATAAAGACGACTGATAATAAACCTCTATGCATTGCATCGGTATATTCTCAGCTTGTGCCCTGCTGGTAAACCGGAGGGGAGAGGGATGGAACGGTACGATTTGTAACTGTTAGTCTGTTGCCCAGATGAGATCCAGATCGATGGACCGACCATTTCTTTGCGCAGCACAGGTGCCATGCCATTCTACCTGCAGTCCTACTACACACCATGTCGTTGCTCTTCGCTAGTAAACATGTGCTGCGATTGGCGATTGCCGCCCGCGTCCTGTCATCCTGTGCGACTCACGTGGTGCCCCTGGGCAACCAATCCGCACCGAGCACGGAGCTTGGCCCCGTTTAGTCCCGGAAAATTTTGGTTTTTGGCTACCGTAGCATTTTTGTTTTTATTTGGTAAAAATTGTCTAATTATGAACTATTTAGGCTTAAAAGATTCGTCTCACGATTTCTCGGCTAACTGTGTAATTAGTTTTTTTTTCGTCTACATTCAGTACTCCATACATATGTCGCAAGATTTGATGTCACGGATAATCTTGAAAATTTTTGGTTTTTGGCTTGGAACTAAACGGGGCCTAAGCTGCCCGGTGCCCGTACGTGGGTGGTACGCCTGGCCACAAATGCTGCACCCTTCACAGCGCGGCGGAACAGGCGAACAACAGCCAGCATGCAGCGCCTGATCATGTGACCGATCCACGCATCCATCTCGCGTCAGCATGAGCTGAACAAACCCAGCCCCAGGGTGAGTCGTTGGGGCGTTTTATGCCTGCCGCCGCGCGCGACCGGCGGCACTGTGACTGTAGCACGAACAGTACGTGGCCGGCGCGGCAAAGACGGCCAATGAACTCGGCAACGCTGTCGTAATTAATGACGCGGCCCGGAGCCCCGGACCGCGCGGCGCCGGAGCGGGGCAACGCACGGCTCTATCCGTGTGGACTGTGGGCGACGGCAGGCGTGTACTTAAATCTCCACTGTAGATGCGCGGCAGGCCGGACGCCCCTGTGACAACAACGTTGGAGCTGCAGCATTAACTGCGCCCCGGCCGGGCGTTGGTCGTTCGTTCCTTGAGCGCCGGATGACATGCGCAGCTGCTGTGTCTCACAGTCTGAGTGTGACAGACTGACAGTCTCCGTGTGGTTGTGCCGTAGGAATTGGAAAATACAGCAAGAGAGTATATAGATTTATAGATGGCTAAACATTTACGCCGTGTTTAGTTGGTGCCCAACTTCCAAAAAGTTGCTACAGTACCTGTCACATCGAATGTTTGCGACCCGTGTATGGAGCATTAAATGTAGACGAAAAGAAAAACTAATTACACAGTTTGATGGGAAATTACGAGACGAACGTTTTAAGCCTAATTAGTCAATGTTTGGACATTATTTGCCAAATAAAAACGAAGGTGCTACAGTAGTCCCAAATTCCAAAATTTGGGAACTAAACAAGGGCTTAAACAACCCTAGGCCCATCAGCCAACCCATGGTCTCTTGTTTTGTCCTGGCCTAGGCACGGCCCGACACTGCTCGATGCATAGTATGCCCACGGCAGACCAGCCTTTTCTCCGTGCCTGGGCTGATTTCAGGGCACGACGCGTCAGCCTACCCAATATGATTAACAGCAGGCTTAACGTGGCCCACTAAACCCTGCACTATATAATCCCTCGTCGCTACGCCTCTTAACCCTAGGCTCCACTTTGCCCCGCACCCGCATCGCGTACCCTGCTCCTTGTTGTGTCTCGGTCGTCACTCTCTCATCTTGCTCCTATGCCAATGACGGACGAAGGTGCTTGTTTTTGTTCTCATCTTTACCCACCTCCTCTCCTTTCTGTCCCTCTCGCCTTCCCCCTCTTTTTTTGGCTCCTTGTGATAACAGGCAGTGATCCATGAGCTAATAGCTGGATCCGTCCCCCTAATCCTAGTCTCCCTCTCCTCTTCTCCTAGATCCATGGATATTGGTCTTCAACGGCATCACTGGTGCTCTCTTCTTCTAAATCCATGGATGTTGGTCTTCAATGACATCTCTGGTGCTCTGGTAGCGCATGCATGCAAAATCCTAACACTCACTTCTTATTCTTCTTCCTTTCTTTGTATTTGTGTTGTCTTAACACTAACTTCTTATTCATTGTATTTGTGTTGTCTGCCTATCCACCTTACCTTTTTCTTGTTCTTGTAATTTGTTGGCCAATGCTTGCACCGTGTGGATGTGGCAACCGCCGTTGAGGAATCGATCCAACTTCCACTGATTACAAACTGATGATGATAGGGGAGAATAGTGATGGAGATGGTGATGGTGACTTGCAGGCCGTTCAGCATCAAGTATGTAACATATCGTGTTGCGTCATCTGTTTGGCCATCTATAAATTCGAGCTTAGTGGGGGTCGTGCACGTCATCCTCCCCCAGCCACCACTGCCCACCACCCGTGACACGAGATTTCCTTAATATTGGCCTTGCATACGGAAGAAACATGAAATCCAAGTAAGATAAAACAAAATTGATTACATCAGTACATATGCTAGCACTTTGAAACTTAAAAACCATAGTGAAGTATCCAAATTAAATTTCAATTGCATCATTATGTTTGTTGTACTAAATGCTTCAAAACCATATATCCCACTTTGGTACATTTTGATAAATTTTCATTTGAAAAATATTTTTCTCATTAACTAAAACATTTTCTTTTGATTAACTAGCGATAATGTTATAAAGTTTGAGATAACATGTTCCGCCTTCACACAAAAATATTCTAGGTTCAAGAGAATAATATTCTAGAATTAGCTAGGACAATAAAATTCTAGATTCAAGTGAACGATATTCCACAATATTCATATCTAGTAGTAGAAAAAGAGTGTTTTTTCTACTACCCACAAGACTCAGGCTGATCAGCTGGGAGCGGCTGGCTGGGCTGGCCAGCCAGCCCTCTCACATAAAACACTGTTCACGCGAAACAACCAGCAGTACTTCTCTCACATAAACAAACCAGCAACGATACGAACCAGTCAACCGAACAGGCTGTAGATGGATAGGCACGTGAACCCAGATTTGATTGTAACTGAATAGGAAAACATAATCACTGATTATTGTTTGGGGGTCATCTGCATCTAACCCTAAGTTGTGATATAAGGTGGGGAGTAGGGCTCCTTATGAACATCTCCCTGCTCCACAATGAACCATAGCATTCAGCGCACGAGTAATACAACATCCACATATATTGGACATAGGGCACCAGCTTGAAATAGTCTAAATTTCCATGTCCCGAGCTACCCCTCTAATCTACTATACACAACACATCGAATTCATTGCTGCAGGCAAAAAAATACGAACAAAGGAACATACCATGGAGACTATATGAACAACTCAAAAAGGAATAAATCTCGTAGTAGGCCAAAATTTGTGCGTGAAAGGCCTTCGTCATCCACCTAAGTCCAGACTAAAGATGAGATAGCTAATTTAGGCTGAACATACTTATCTCGGCCACACAAGAAGAGTGGTCTGAGATCCGGCCTGGGCAAGAAATGGGTGGTATTAGGCCCAACACAGATGCCATGCGCACGCGGCCCACTCCCGCCACAAAAGTACTCAAATTGATCCGCGGATGGAGCCATGCCCATCAGCCCATGGAGTGGAGACTCCTCCGAACACGGTAGTAGCTGCAGCCGTGGAGCAGCACACAGAGCGTTTCCTTGATCATTCAATTCAAATAAATAAAAAGAAGAGCATTTCCTGGCGCTGCGGCCCAATCCGCGACGACAAGTCTACAGGAGAGGAAAGCGACATGAATCCGATCGAGCCAACGATTCAGACCGGTCCGTCTCGGCGGGTAGTGCCAACTGGCATGTCGAGTCAAGTCAACCACCGACGAGCGGATGGATCGCTGTCTAGGTTTTTTTTATCTGTATATATACCTTCCGTAAGCTGTCGTTTTGATAAGAAAAATTATAAATCCCCGACGTTTGTAACCTCATCCGATATAGTGAAGATTCGCTGACTGGTGCCTGTGGTTTTTTCTCTTCTTCCTGGGAAGGGTTTTCCACATATTCTTCGTCCTATATTGCCTATCTTTTTCCACGTATTCTTCGTCTTCGTCCTATATTTTCCACATATTCTTCGTCTTCGTCCTATATTGCCTATCCTTTTCCACATATTCTTCGTCCTATATTGCCTATCCTTTCTAAGAGTTCGTCGCCGAGGTCGTCAGCATCGGCCGTCTCCGGCACCGCAACCTCGTGCAGCTGCTCGGTTACTTCCGACGGAAAGGCGAGCTTCTCCTGGTGTACGACTACATGCCCAACGGCAGCCTTGACAAGTACCTATACGGCAAGGACGACGACAAGGCCACGGGCACGCTGGATTGGACGCAGAGGTTCCGGATCATCAAAGGCGTCGCGTCAGGGCTGCTGTACATCCACGAGGACTGGGAGCAGGTCGTCATCCACCGAGACATCAAGGCCAGCAACGTCTTGCTCGACAGCGAGATGAACGGACGGCTAGGAGACTGGTCTCGCAAGGCTGTACGACCATGGAGCCGACCCGCAGACAACCCATGTCGTTGGCACGATGGGGTACCTTGCGCCGGAGCTGGCGCGGTCAGGGAAAGCGTCCCCTCTCACCGACGTGTTCGCCTTCGGGGCGTTCATCCTCGAGGTCGTGTGTGGACGGA